AAAAAAAAAAAAAAAAGAAAAAGACTTTCAAAAGCACTACAGCCATATAAGCCAGCAATCCCACTCCTAATGGGATACACAGGTGAAATGAAAACTTTTGTTCATTTATGAAATTTCATGAGCGAATGTTTGCTGAGGCTTTATTAGTTATTAGCAACAGCTGTTAAATCTGTCCTTCAATAGATGAATGGATGAACAAATGTGATCCATCCACACAATGGAATACTATTCAGCCATAAAAAGGAATGAGCTACAGACAGACACAAAAAAACATAAAAAAAACCCCGTTACAGATGAACCTGAAATGCATTATGTGGGTGAAAGAAGCCAGGCTCAAAAGGCTGCATGATTCCATTTTACTCGACCTTCTGGAAAAGGCAAAAGTATCAGGACAAAAAGCAGATGAGTAGTTGCCAGGGGCTGGGACCTGAAACAAATGGATAATTTGGAGAATGTTAGGGGATGATGTAAATGTTCTACATCTTGATTGTAGTGGTGGCTGCCTGACTGTATGTTTTCAGAGCTGTACACTAAAATGGGTGAATTTCACTGCATGTCAGTGATACTTCAATTACAAACAAACAAACAAACAGAAAAAGGAAAAAAACCAAACATCCCCGGCAAGAGAGGCTAGGGCTTGGGAAACCTCTCTCTGGGATTCCTGACACAGCAGAAACTTGCTAACCAGCCCTGGCTTGTCTCATCCCAGCTTCACCTTCCCTCACACACTGGTGAGCCAGCTCAATCACACATGCCTCAAAACCAGCCAAGCCAGGTTCTGGGAGAAGTCAAGATCTGCCCTGCCCTGCCCATGGGAAATAGAAAAGGAGCTTGTGGGACAAGACATGACCAAACACATCAGATCTCTGACATTAAAGTGATCTCGGGTTCCCTCAAACTTGAGGTCCCAGGAAGCCCAGATCATCCTTGGAAGCTGCCACAGCTTAAGACATCTCTTGCAGTTTCTCCCTTGGAAATTAATAAAGGAGATAGTTACAATCAGCTCAGCAGGAACCCAACAGATCTACCAGTCACCATTATGAATCAGCCACTGTGCTGGGGCTGAGGACACCAGCAAGATCTAACTGTCTCTACTGACAGGCACCGTCAGGGGGCCACGGTACAGTGTCCTCAGTGGCTTGAACAAAGTGGCCACTATTCATTCCAAGGGTGGATTTCATTTCTGCTGACAGCCTGGGTACTGGAAGCCAGATTGGTAAACAAGGGGTTCCTCGAGCCTGCCACACCCCTCAAAAACAAAGAGGAATTCTACTTTGGAGGATGGATCCTGCCTTTCTGCCAGCTTCTTTTTTTTTTTTTTTTTTTTTTTTCCCGAGACGGAATTTCACTCTTGTTGCCCAGGCTGGAGTGCAATGGCGCAATCTTGGCTCACCGAAACCTCTGCCTCCTGGGTTCAAGCAATTCTCCTGCCTCAGCCTCCTGAATAGCTGGGATTACAGACATTCACCACCACGCCTGGCTCATTTTTTGTATTTTTTTTTTTAAGTAGAGACAGGGTTTCTCCATGTTGGTCAGGCTGGTATTGAACTCCTGACCTCAGGTGATCTACTTGCCTTGGCCTCCCAAAGTGCTGGGATTATAGGTGTGAGCCCCCGAGTTTGGCCAGATCCTTGCTTTTGAAGGCATACATACAAAACACCTTCATGTTTTCACCTGTTTTCCCCAGATAGCGCCAGTGAAAAAGATAAGGAGTGTCCTGAAGACCACATAGCCTTGGCTTCCTGTACTCGGAGTCAGGGATCCCCAAAGGCTACAGGTTTAGAAGTTTCCAGAGCCGAATCTGGATGACCGAGCTCCAAGCACTGACTCACCCTTGCTTCCGCCTGCTCCCCTGTGAATCAGCAATCTATCTTTAAGGACTTCTCATCATGTCTCTGATGACAGGCCCGTGAATTCTGGATGGTTCAACAGCTGATGAAGGCTCAGGAGCAGGATCTGGAAACAGGAGTAAGGAAAGGAGGTAAAGAAGTGTGCCAGGTACTGCCTGCTCTTTTGCCTGTCTGAAGTCTTTTTTTCTTTTTTTCAAGACAGAGTCTTGCTCTGTCACCCAGGCTGGAGTGCAGTAGCGTGATCTTGGCTCACTGCAACGTCCACTTCCTCCCAGGTTCAAGCAGTTCTCTTGCCTCAGCCTCCTGAGTAGCTGGGATTACAGGCACCCGACACCATGCCAGGTTAATGTTTGTATTTTAAGTAGAGATGGGTTTTCGCCATCTTGGCCAGGCTGGTCTCAAACTCCTGACCTCAGGTGGTCCGCCTGCTTCAGCCTTGCAAAGTGCTGGGATAATAGGCTTGAGCCACTGCACCCAACCTGTCTGAGGTCTTGAGTGTTTGCAGGCATGAGTACCCGTGTGTATGTCCCCAGCTTGCTCATAAGAATCAAGGGTGCCAAAGCATGCCATGATCCCAGATCAGTACTGTCCAATAAAAATAGTGTAAGAGGGTCCAGTGAGGTGGCTCACGTCTGTAATCCCAGCACTTTGGGAGGCTGAGGCGGGCACATTACCTGAGGTCGGGAGTTCAAGTAAGACCAGCCTAACCAACATGGAGAAACCCTGTCTCTACTAAAAATACAAAATCAGCCAGGGGTGGTGGTGCATGCCTGTAATCCCAGCTACTTGGGAGGCTGAGGCAGAAGAATCGCTTGAATCCAGCAGGTGGAGGTTGTGGTGAGCCGAGATCCCATCATAGCACTCCAGCCTGGGCTACAAACTCTGTCTCAAAAAATATAGTGTAAGGGGGTGGGGGAAGGTGGCTCATCCCTGTAATCTGAACTCTTTGGGGGGTTAAAAGCAGGAGAATCGCTTGAGTCTAGTAGTTTGAGGCCAGTTTAGGCAACATAGCAGTGTTAGGATCTCCTCAAGTGTGGTGTCCGGGGTAACAGTGAGCTATGATTGCACCACTGGTCTCCAGCTTGGGTGACAGAACAAGCAAGACTGTCCAAAATTTAAAAAAAAAAAAAAAAAAAAAA